CCCTGGACAGAAAGGAACATCACAGGAGCACAGGTAGGAGTTGCCACCTGAGGTTTTGCCTCTCTTGATCACGCACGGAGGCATCTGCACAGCTTGCACTAGCATCTAGTTTGCACCAGCTAATTTCGGCCTGAAGTAGAATGGACAACTGGCTTGCATGGGCATTTCAGCCTAGTCTGAAATGTAGATTTTAGAGTAGGCAGGTTGAGTTGGGAGTGATAATTACATTCATCCCCAAATTGCTTTGGTTTCACTGTGGTTTTGGACTTGTTTAGTTAACTGAGGTTGGGCGCATTACAAGTGCACTTTTTTGTGTGTGTTTGTGGGGGTTTTTTACCCATTGGGTGTTCCTTTAATGTACTGATTTAGAGCTTCTCTAAAGCATAGAATACACGTCAATATTATTATTATTATGGAGTTTTTATTACCATAAATTCCATAATAATAATAACTCCATAATAATAATAATATTGGCGTGTATTCTATGCTTTAGAGAATAGCATGGTAGCTCCATATAATAATAATTTTATTACCATAAATTCCATAATAATAATATTATTATTATATGGAGCTACCGTGTGGGACAAAGCCACAGTGTTGAGGAGAGCTACACTTTCTGATCTTTCCCCATGCTGTCTGCCTGTAAGACAGGACATTGCCTGTAGGCAGATCTGTAGAGAGATCTGTTAGATCTGTAGATCTAACTCAGTACAGRATAGTGCAGCAAATCAGCCCAAAGGGGACTAGCAGAGAGTTTAAATATTTGGATATAGGCCTCATCTTCAGGACTGGAGTTGTAGCCTGAATAAATTCCTGAGGGCCTGTGCTGCTCCCTCCTAAATATTTCATTTACTGGTCTATGCAAAATCCACAGATTGTCCAAGGCTGAAAGCAGAGCGCTCATTTGCTTCCCTGCAGTGTGCTCTGCACAAGCAAGCCTAATATCTTCTGTACGACACATAGAGGGGCTCTGTGACCCCTAAATGCCACGATGAGGACCCTGATTTTAAAACATTTAATTCTTCCTAACTCTGCAGGGACAGAAAAAGGAATTAAAAAAAAAAAGCAGCAATTTTTTACAGTACCACTGGGCCTGTTTTCAGTAGTGGGCGTTGATAGTAGCGTGGGCCGCCATGGGTCAGCAGAAGGGCTCTGTCCTCGCAGTCTTCACACGCGTTACAGAGTGCTGTACGGGGTGGGGAAACACAGTACCTGTCAGAATTGTCAGTCCTGGGAATATTTGGTCCTTTAGGAATATAAATGCTTTTTGACACCAGCTTGTCTTACCTGGCATTTACTTTAGGAGAGAAAGTTTCCATAACATCCAAACATTCTGTTTCAAAAGTTTCACACTGAAACATTTTCATTTTCATCTTGAAACATCGTTTCTGGTGTATTTTGTGTCACTTTATAACATTTTATTTTTATCAAAATCAGATAATGAAAGTAATCCCTATAAACTTTATTTTTCTTTTTAGTATTTTCTTCCTCTCTTTCCCTCTTCTTGGTATTTTTCTTTCTGTAAAGAATTTTAACGCTTCTGAGATTTGGCCCAACTCTGAAGGAAAAGTCAGATCTTCAGCCTCTTGTGAACTACAGTTCTGTATCTAGTTATAGGGATTTATGTTCTGATTCCACACAGGTGCTTCTTTGGCACTTTTTTAGCCCTTGGTCAAGATTAGAGCTAGTATAGAACTGGACTTGATCTTTCTTCCTTTTTTGGACCGAAATTGTTGACGACAGAAGAAACAGAGACCTTAAAAATGTATCTACCAATTCACCAACTCTGTAGCATGCTGCTTTCCCTTGAGCCAGCTGGGGAAAAGTGCATTTTGCAGCTAAATTTGTAGGCAATTTTTGAATTAAAAAAAAAAAAAAAAGAAGAACTCTATCCAAAAAGTAAAATAGAAAAGTTTTAATTAATTAGTTAGATAAGAAACTGATAGGAAGTCCAAGCTGCTTCCCTCTAGTAAGTGCTTAAATAACCTCCTTGCAAAAAGGTTCAGTTGTATGAAAGTTTCAGGTGTAGTTTCAGAGTATTTTTAGGTCAGTCTGGAGGTCATATATGGATATTAAAGGCAACTTTAGCACTTATATTTCCTTGCGGAGTTTGTGAGAACAGTCACAGACGAAGGTAAATGAATTCATTCAGTCGTTTTATCCCAGACTGTCCCACTACTGTCTCAGACTGTAAAACTGCATACTGAAGAAGTATGTTCCGAGGACAAGGCTTTCAAAGCTTGACTCATGTTTCATGGTTAATATATTTAAAATTCACTCATTTTCTAAACATTAAAACCTGAAAAAGAAGACCGAGTAAGTATAAAATGAATGTATATATGTGCATGTTTTGCTTTCCTGGGATTCCACTGCAATATTGCTGGATTATTATTTCCATGAGCTATTTTATCCTCGATTAAACATTGTATGGTATTATTTAAATTTATGTATGTATTTATTTTAAATTTTCAGTGACAAAGATTGTTTCCAGAAAGAGTAAATCCCCTCCCTTCCCCCTGCTTGCTTTTGGCCAGGCAGTTCCTCAGGAATCTTTCTCCATCTCTTTTTAAAGAAAGCAGGTCTTCGAGGTCAAAAAGATGATTACAAAGATTTCCCAAGGATAAAACAGCTAAATTGTCATCAGTCTCTAAGGTGGTTAGATCTACAGTCTGGTGTTTCTGGCTTTGCATTGCCTTCCCTCTAAGAGTGCCTCTAAGACTGGGTAGTTAAAAGTATAAAAAGCAATATAACAAGAACATCCATAATGATAAGTTTTACTGTGCTATATTTCCGTGATTTAACTATTCTCCAAGTGGTCCAGGGGGCTGGGAAGGTCTAAGTAAATTCCCATTAAGGAAAGAGACGGCAGTAAAATTTTTAATAACACCAGTGTTACCTTGCTGTGAGGGGCACTGGCAGTCAGTGAGTATGAGYTAAATTCCATTTAAAAGATTGGGGACCCTTTAATTTCCTCGACAGTTACAAAGTAAAGCTGCATCCATCACCGTTTTTATTAATTATGATTAACAGTGTATGTTTGAAAGCTGATGGTGCCTGGAAGAGCTGGCGTTAACAGTTGCCACAGCTCCTTCCAGCGGCTCCTTTCCCTCCCAAGCGCAGGCCTCGGGGGAGCGCGGATTTGTACCGAGCGTTGGGGCTTTCCTGCTCAGCTTGGCGCGCACGCGGCTCCCTGACCAGGAGCAGCCTGGTCTCTCCGGCTTCTCCCTTTGCTTCCCTGGGGCCAGTGCGGCTGGGCCGTGYGGCCTGGGGAGCGCCGTGGGGCTGTCCCTGACACGGCCGCTCGGGTGCCCTACGCGCTCCGTCCGCGGGAGGGCCGCGGGATGAGGAGCCCTCAGTCCAAGGCTGCCAGGAGCCCAGGCCATGCCCGGGGCCGCGGGCTGCGCCCTGTTGTGTCTGGGCAGTGTTTCTTCTTCTTTGCTGTGAGGAAGAACTTCTGTCCTGTGAAGGAGGAGATTGTGGAGTCTCCTTCTCTGGAGGTCTTCAAACCCCACTGAGATGTGACCCTGTGCCCCGTGCTCCGGGTGTCCCTGCTGGAACCAGCGGGATGGACTAGATGATCTCTAGAGGTCCCTTCCAACCTCAACCAGTCTGTGATTCTGTGATAACTCATTCTTCCTGACATGGAGCTATCAATAGCTTTTTAATTGTACTGATTGAGTGAGATTAGTATCATAAATCATGGTGCAATTTTCCTCTTTAGATGATCTTATTCAAACTGAATATTTTTTTTTCAAAATATTTTCTGTCATTCTCACTGCCCTTTAAGTTCCTCAACTTTAAGATAAAATATTCTTGTATTCCAATAACCATCTACCAGTAGTTCACCTTAGACTATTCTGATGTTTTCTGAAGATCTGGATTTTCAGATAGTCAAAAAGCATTTTTTTTTGGAGGACCACAGTGGGATATTTAAAATTCTGTTTGAATCTTTAATGTTAATCAATGAAGTTTCATACATACGTGTTTTTATGGATATGAATTCAAAATATAGAATCTTAGAGGTTAGAACTTTTCAGTGTACCTCTTGTGGTGATTTCATTCAAAATTATTTTCAAAACTTAACCTGATTGCTGAGGTCACATATGACAGCTTGAAATTACAGTGAGTTTAAATAGCTTTTCTTTTGCTCATTATTAAGAAAACCTGAATAATAAAATGTCTTAAAAGATCTATAGTGCGTTAGAAGGCTTAGGATGATGTTCTCCCTAAAGACAAGGAAGCTGAGTATTTGTACAAGTGGAAAATAAAGTTTTAAGTTTTAAATACTTAAGTACTGATGATACTAGAGGGGGGAATTTCCTTTTAAATTTGTGAAGACTGCCTTAGTTTAATATTTACATTACTTCTGTGTACTGATGGGACGGACAGAAAGTATTTTTAATGCGTTTGTGTAATTTGCAATTTGGTAGGGATTGAATTTTTACTTCTAGTAAGCTACTATACTGTGAAGTGAGCATTTCCATTATTCTTTCTGATACTTCTTTCATGTCCACCTTCTGCAGAAAGAGACTATTCTCGGTGAATAGTCGGATGCTGTGGATGACTTTTTTATAAGATAATTATATAAATAACTGAATCCAGTGCATTTTACAGTACATTTCCTTAAGCAAACTAGATGGAATGCTTTTTAATAACCATGTAGCCATTTTATGATTTTTATATTTGCCATTTGAAGACAGTTTTGGTATAGATTTATATAGAATTACTTAAAATACTGCATATAAATTAAACATTAAAAAGGTAGATACAGACAGACTAAGCAGCTCAATTATAATCTTTGGTTATGCAGTTACTGCCTGAAGGACACTCCATCCATTTCATATCATATGTCCTTCTTTTGAAAGATGATCACTAGGTTCAAGTAACATTTCACCACAGCAGGAAATTGCATAATTTATAGGCCTTTAAAAATGAAAACCAGAAAACTGCTTTCATAAATTAAATTTCCCTCTCTATTTTTTTCTTTTCTACCCTTACAGATTGGAACACTGAAGGATTACTACCACTTTTACCATAGTAAAACAATTAAAAGGTCAGTTCTCTCAAGTAGAGGTACCCACAGCTTCATTTCAATGGAACCAAAGGTAAGAAAATCCACCTATGTGTCTGAGGCAAAAGCCTTTGCATATTTTATATGAAATATCATACCAGGAGACATTCACCTGAATGGCATATAGAGTTACAGGAACAGACATACTATCTGTTTGCTAAGGTTCTGCTTCCCATTAAAATGAAGCAAAGACAATACTATACTATCAAGTGTGTGCTGTTATTAGAACCTAAGGTCCAGCATTATTCGTGGGGGAGCTGCAGTTTGGGGATTTTGTGAATGTGTAGCTGTGCTTCTAAAATCACAACTGTAGTAGTGGTATCTGTTACATCTACTATACCTGTAGTAGCTGCTATCCTGAAACGTAACACAGGTTTCTAAAAAGCATCAGTTACCAGCAAAAACAATTTGAGCAGTGTATGTGTCGCTTGCAAGCTAGGCATTCTGGAGGATATGAGCACTGAAGGATGCAGGAGCACTTCTGTGGCTTGGAAAGCCACAGTTAGGGCTGAAGTTCCTTCCTGAAGAGAAAGGAGGAGGACATGGGAAGTGCACACGGAGCATTTTCCCTTTTGTGCAGACAGGGCTAAGCTGCTAAGATGTGTAAGGACCCCAGCAGCTCTGCTGAGCAGGATGTTTTCAGGGATTAGCACGTGGTCAGGGCCAAAAGCCTGCTCTGTGAGTGCTCGGAGCGGCTGTTCGCACACCCAGCGCCACCACCTCTTGGGACGGGCAGTTCCCCTYGTGCTCCGGTGTTGTGAAGCAGGTGAACGAGCTCACAGGCACGTACCACCACCGGCGTTTCTGCTGCACCCAGCTGACCTACACCCCTTCGCCTCTCTGGCACACAGCCAAAGACATGAGGGACAGCACAGCAAAACATCAGAGACGTGGTTGGTTTCTCCAGCCTTCACCTTACACTGCTTAGATCTTGTCCTATGCCTGGCATTTGGTGCTTGAGCCAGCACGAGGTGTTTGCTACTGAGGTCACAAGTGAAGTTGTGCGAGGAACTCCAGCCCCATAGCTGCTCTGGTGCCAAAGAGAAGCCTAAAGTCTAACTCTTTGACCTACCAGGAGTGCTTGTGGTGACTTTGTGATTTCTTCATTGACTCTGGGATAGGAAACCCTTGAGTGGCTGGAGGCGTGTCAAAACACACATATCAGTATTTACGGACCAGCTTGTACATTACACCTGAAATTTGCGTCACAGATTGTCCTCAATGTATATGAAATTAAAAAAAAATAGTTTATTAAAGTAAGCCTTCAGTTGAATTGCCTTGTGTAAGTTGAGTCTTTTAAAAATGGTTTAGTCTTAAAAAGGTCACACTGGATGCCCACGGGAATTTTAAAGGACCAGTACTGTACATGGCTGCATTTATGACTGTCACTGTGTCTAATGCCAATATTTGCAGCAGATTAGCTGGCGTGTGTATTTGTGAACAAAGGAACATTAAGGTTTGTGTGCTTTCCAAATCATTTAATGATAGTTTATTTAATGCACAAAAGCCTCTTTTGTTTAACATGTACACCTAATTACTGTGACCTGCTAGTTGCCTCACATATAGATTACTAATCTGTTCGTAGTTTTATAAAAATTTAAATAATGCATTTTTCATTCATTGAGAATTCATTATTTAATCATGAGAAATGGAGAAACCATTTTGGGATCTGCCATTTCTGAACTGCTTATGTGCATGGTGTTTGATATCACTGTATGAATTTAAGGGAAAGATACAGACATCATTAAATTGCTTTGAAGATCTTTGTCTTCATTATTTTCATCTGGAAATGACTGTTGATATGATTTTAAACAATACGAATAGGCCCAACAGAAAGCATAAATTGAAGATATATACATTACGTGTTTTAAAAATTATCTCAGTATTAGATGAACATTACTCTGTTGTTAAATGATAATGGCACAGGACAGTGACATAATTTTGCCCATTATGATCCACATCCTTGCCCTGCAGCTCTGGGAGCACCCACTTAGAGGTGAAATGGATTAAGAAGCTTTAAGAGATGCATAGGTGAGGTGGTAATGTCACCAACATATTTTGTCATCTACAAAAAATTCAGATATAGCTTTTCCCACAGCAGCTTTACTAGTATTGTATGTAGTTATGTGCATATAGTTATGCATGTAGTTGTGCTTCCAGTGTTGGTAGCAAAAAAATGAGAAGAGAAATTATGGATAGAAGCAGAGATCAGTACTGTGTGTCAAAGCCAAGCTTTTAATGAAATCCACGGAGGCAAAGACTACATGAATTTCAGATCTTTCCAGCTAATGTCGTGTTGGTGGGGGCTATTGGCAAGAGTTAGTGAAAATCCCATGCCATGAGTTATGGTAATGACACATGAAAGTTAAATAGACAGTACAAATGAGAAAGTTGTCTTTTGATACAAGGTATAGTTACAAAAAATGAGGAGTTTGTAGTGAAGAGTCATGATAATGAATTTGTGACTCATGTAGTGAAAAATGTTACTCAAAATCAAATAGCATAAATGGCAAGGCAGTAATCCCAGAAGAATGCATTTGTTAAGTTAATATAATGCAGCTTTCAGATTGCTAATATATTCAAAACGATGTATGTACAAGCTAAAGTATGTTCTGTTTTGCTTATGAGGTCCCAGTGCTTTGCATCACAAGAGAGATCTTAAAAAGAAATGTGGCCTATAGCAGTGCTGCTAAATGTAAAATTAATAATTCAAGTTCCTGTGAAATCTCCCATTTACTAATAGGGAATTTTTTTTTTTGGCATTAGTGTTTGTTTGTCAGTTTGAACTATGATGCTATATTACCTTTTTGTTTTTTCTTTTAATCCTTTCAGATAGGTTTGTTTGGGGTTTGAACTCCTGAGTCAAATCAGCTTCATTCATCTTTTAGAAAATGAAAACTTTCCAGTCACACATCTGTTAAAATAGGCTTGATTTCAGCAAAAGACCCTACTAGAGCAGGATTGTGCTAAGATTTTATACAGAGTCATTGTACCTGGGAGAACAGGTACAGACTCCACACAGGCTTTTACATTTTCCCCATCCTCATATGACCTGGCCCATACAAACCACTGGCACCATGTGTACAGCGGGAGCTTCGATACTGCCATAACAAACTGAATAAAAATAGTGCTAAAACCACAAAAAAATCTGAGCAAAAGTAGTTTTGAGGTGAAAAAAGCAAACTCTCAAGACTGCTTTCAAAGAAAAGGAAAGTAATGCTGGAAGCCCATCCCTCATAGTAAGAGGATATTGTGGGTGTTTGTGGGAGGGCAGAGGGAAGATGAACAGTAGCAGCCAGTAGAAACCAGTGGGAACCAGTAAAAAATGCATCACATTGCTATGTAGCAGTGATTATATCAGTTCACACTGCTAAATAATATGCTGGGTTGACACAGGAGATAGCTGGCCAAAGAGAAGGGAAAAGGATGGATTTTATCACAAGATGATGGTCCTGCTTTGGAAAGGCAAATGCCACTACTTGTGGAGTGGCACACGAGCCTTTGGAGGCAGAGAAGGAATCCAAGAAAAGAAGAGGGTTAGATTTGCTGTGCTAAGAAGATGGCCGTCAAGGTGTATTTACCAATTATTTTCCAATTTAATTGTGCCAAGACTGGAGTATGAGATTGAGAGGGACTTTAGCCAATTTGTGTTATGTTTAGGAGGCACAAAACTCAGCAGGAATGAAGAATTTCATTACAGTATTAAAACCCTAGGTTTTTAATAGAAGCATTTGGACTGAAGGGTTAGAAAAATTCTCATGAGAATGCTGTTGTGGGAAGCCAGTGTTTCATACGGGCAATGCCAAGTGTTAAGTTGTTAAACGTCATTAGGGAGCAAAACTATTATGTTAGCTAAATAGAATAACAGAACTGTTAAATTTGGGCATCTGGTGGGTTACCGATGCCTGCCTGTGTAGCCATGAGCTGTATTAGCATGCAGAAGACAAAGAATCAATAACATCTTATAGCAGAATAATGGGAACCGCTGCACTATTTTCCATGTTTAGATTTTGACCGGAGAGACTAAGTTATGAAGTAATGAAATATTTACCACCGTCTCTCTATTTAATTGTCTCTGAAATCTTTTGTATGAGCCATCCTTACTTCTTCAGCTCAGTCAACATCAAGAATCAGACTTGCTATTTTTAAGGAGACTGTTGCTGGGTGAGTTAGTGCATGAACTGAATCACGATGTGAGAGAGGACACAGGGACATTTCACCTCAGTACCTGCCTCCAGAGTCTTAAACACAGTTTGCTAAGACGTGGGCAACTAGTCGTACACTTAAGACCTTGTTTCAGAGCCTCTGGAGATACAAAACTGCCATTCACCTGTGCCCAACTGTGTTAGATCCCCTTATAATTAGTGTTGTTCTAACAGCAGTTCATGCTGTTGTAAGGACTGTACAAGCTGCTCAGTATTCTCTTGTTAAATGAACAATTAAGATCTGTACTTTGTGGCGGATAAGTACTTTATGCCTAACTTAAACCAGGTTCTGGTTTAAGAAAACAGATTTTTTTCTCAAGAAAACTCCTGAGAAGCCTGTGTTGCTTGAATGGAAATCAAGAATAATTTTACCAAGCTGAGGCTGCATGACATCGCCAATCTTCCTTTTGGTTGTGCACCAATATGGACAAGTTTGCCAACAGATACAATGGCTTAAATAGCCTGAGAGGAGAAACCACAGTAATGAACTAAAGTGAGCAGAGCAAAACGGAATAAAATTACAGCTATGTTTCCTAGCAGGCCTCTCTGAGTTTGCACAAACACAGTGTTTGAAACACTTGAGAAGGCAGGGTGCAGCATCCTGTTCTTTCTAATGGTCCTGGCAAAAGGCAACCTGAAAAGCTGGCACTGCTTTTGTGTACGCGGAATGGTGTTTGGCCTATAGATGATAGAAAATCATCTAAAAATTGAATCTTGTGTGACAGCAACCTAAAAGTGAAACCCAAAATATATTCACACATTATCATGCAAATATACAGTGCAGGCAGCCTCCCCCTTGTACTATACAGGCTAAATCTGAAGGTCCTGT